AATAATGGCAACTATTTTGATTAAATAAATTTGTTAAAAATTTAAAACAATTTAGATTTTCAGTACAAATCGGCAATTTCATACTTTAACCCCTATTATTAAGTAATCTAAATAATCTAATAATCTAATAAGTAAAAAAAAATTGATATACCGCTTCAATTTTGAGAAAAATGACACTTTGTGTTGGATTCTGCAATGGGGACACGCCACTGTTGTCAGGTTTTAGGTATTCCGGATTTTTTTTCCACTAGGTCCGAAAGGTTTATTGGCAAGATTCATGCTCTTCAGTTGGCTTTTGACCTATACTAAACACTCTTTTTTTGTAATTTTTTGTTTTGACAAATTAGTTCAGTGTACTGCATGGACACAGAAAATTGCGGCTTTGGAGAAATGCCGCTAAATAACTAGATAACTAAAAAAAAGACTCCGCATTTCTTAACAACCATTTAACAACAATAAATTTTTTTGTAATAAGCAACGATTCGATGTTAAACTCCTTTACTGTGACACTACACGTTCCTCATTATTATACCGCAAAATAATTTATTAGTTTCTGGCAAGGTCGCAAATGTGTGTTTTTTATTTATTTATATTTAAAAACATTTAAGCTAACGGGTTTAACATAATGCGATAGTAAAACAACAATGATTACTAACCTCTTACAACTACCATTACAGATGTATTTAATAATACCATAGTGTGGTTACCTAACTAGTTTCAAACATGTCAACAATAAACAAACCACCAAAAGAAATTTTACAATATGCAGCCTGTGCAAATTCATTCAGAGAACAATTTAACAAATCGATGTCGATGTTAATAACACGAATAGTATGTAGGTATGCACATTTTGATTAGGATGTTTTTTTTAAACCATTTTTTGTTTGGATTCTCCTATATTAGAATGGTCATCAGATACTTTGGCCTAGCTTTGACCCTTATTGTTAATACTCGTGAGTCGTGTAGTAAATTTTTTTCAATGACAAAATGTAACTATACAAAAATATGCCTCCTCCTCCTTAGGTCTGGTTTCTTTGTTGGAGGTTTGAGGAAATCATGGTCAATAAATCTTCTCCACGCCACTCTGTCTTCGGCTAGGTGGAGTGTGACATTCAGCGGTACTGCCAGATTTTCAGTTACCTGGCTACACCATCCCTTCGAACCGTCCTCTTGGTCGTTTGTCCTCTATTTTGCCCGTACCAATTAGTTTTTCAATGTTGTCAGAGCTTCTGCCTGCTAAGTGTATGGAGGGTATGCGTTCGTGATTTTGCAGCTGCAATTGCTCAAGTACAGATACGTTCGTGGGATGTGCACAGAGAATCTCTAGTAGGCGACACTAACACCACATCTCAAATGCGTCAATTCTTTGCTTGTCAATGGCTTTAAACGTCCAGGTTTCCGCACCATACAAAAATATGAACAAGACTATACCGTGCGAATTACGTGTCTAAAGATACAACAAAGGTTCTATTGCGAATGTTTCTGTCCTTTCATATTATCTTTGCTAGCTGTATCGTGGCAGTTTTTGAAATACCAATGCGTTGTCGTATTTCAGGTTTACTGTTCCTTTATTGCTGATGACTGACTCAAGATACAACAACTCATCTACGGTCTCGTATTCCTTTAGTGCATCTGAACGTTTGATGGTAGCAAAATGGTCAACGATCTCCAGTTTAGGTTTCTTTTTATTAATCACTAGCCCTAGCTCTTCAATGACTACTCTAGTCGCCTAAGAAACTCCACTATCTCAGGGTCTGTTAGGCAAACAAAAATTTGCAGCTTGTATGAATTACATTTAGCCTTTTGTGTACCCACTGAGTTATTTCAGTTCGATGTAAGAGATAAATGCTTAAATTTTTCCGTCTTCATGCGAAATTGGTCGATTAATTTGTAATAATAATCGCATTTGATGTGAATGAATAAATAAGCGTTAAAACTAAGAACAGTGAATAAATGCAGTTACAGAACTGATTTTAATAATTGTGTAACACCCCGTAGGTCAACATCTTTAGTAACGTACTTGTTACATTATCTTTTGGCAACTTGTCCCCAGAGTTTGCAAGTACTTGGTCCCACCGTGACCCCACCAAGGCCGTTCCGCCTGGGTAATGTTGACGACGATATCTTGCTATTGACGGTTTCATATTTCCGAACCTACATGCACACATGTATTTACTTTAGTGAATATACATAGGATTACCCATGTTGTCATCCTGTTGTCAGTAATCAAAATTATTAACAGAAACATCAAGGTAGTCGCTATCGTATATCTTACTTTTTAGTGATCACAAATTGCGCGTTGCCAGGAAACTTCAAACAATCAAATACAGCAAATTAATTAATTCACATTGTAACGTTTCCCCGCATCGTGTATTATGTTGCTTATATTAATTACTCTCTTCCTCTTTGTGCATTATAACACGAGGATTGAAACTGGTCTTGGCCCTCCGGCTTGCCAGGCGTGTCGCTTATCTGACATTTTATTTTGGCAGCTTGTTTATTTGTCGTCAATACCACCTGCTATACTTCGGAAAGTCATTTAAAATGTTATAATGATCTTATATACTTAAAACAGGGTTACAACTACTCTTTTAGAATTAAAACTGCTTACAATTAACGGTCACGTCGCGTCGTTAACATCAATTATAATCATAATCAATTATATGACATATTATCATTGAAATCTCGTAGGCCTGAAAATATTATTGCATTTCAAAACAACAATATATGCGCAAGTGCAAAATTTCAAAATTTATTTAAAATGTTTAAGGAAACTAGATCTAAATCGAAATAAACAGAGAACTTATTTAAGAATACATAATCAATTTCCAAAAACAAACGCGTAAATTGGGGACACGCCACTGAATGAAGTTACCATTAGTACCTACTAATCTATCTAAACTATTTTAATATTTACCCCTCTTGCCTTTTTTCAGCAAATCTACTGTACTATTCCCGACGAAATATTTATTATGACTACGGCCAGTGTACTGCTCACCGTGGGGACAACGTGGGGAACCATCACAGACAAGAACGATAAGGAAAAAGAAAACGCGCGCTCACTCAATGTAGCCGAAATCGCAGCACGCGAGCTACGGGAGACACCCAACACCCGGGAACAGTCTCTACGCATCATGCGGGAGTGGATCCAAAAGAATACTGACATTAGAAACGTGCGGCAAGGTAAATATTTATCTGTCTATATATGACTTTTTTACTTTATTTACGCTAAGAGTGGTTACACACGTCGACTTTTAGCAGCGATGCAAACGCACGTTCGTGAAACGCGCCGTTGCATCGTTACACTTATGATTTATAGGCGATTGTATCGATGCAAATGCGAGACTGAATCGATGCAAACGCGCGACTCCAAGTGAAGTGTTGCAAGCGCGAGTTTGTATCGCTGCTTAAAATCACGCGCTTCCATCGCAGCTTAAAATTACGCGAGGTAGACGTAGTACAAGGTAGACGATTGGCAACTGCATCGCGTTTGCGTCGTTGCTAAAACTCGTCGTGTGTAACCGCTCTAGAAGTTCAAAACATAAAACGCAAAGAATAAAAGACTATTTTAAAAAAGTCTAAGGGTCGTATTCCAGAACTCTACTCAATGCTCAAGTCAGGACTTGAGTACTGCAGGGAGCACTGAAAATCATACTCAAGTCCTTGCCATTAGTCGTATTTCCAGTGCTTGAAATCATACTCAAGTCTGCTCAAATCCTGACTTGAGCAGTGAGTAGAGTTCTGGAATACGACACTAAATGTTAAATTATGATTTCCTACAAAATAAATCAGGCAGTGAGTAGGTGTTACCTTTATATCCAATATTTATTAAAATTCTTCACTATAAGTCTAGCCTTATTCTATATAGAATGTTTAACAACAAAACTAGCAACGGTCGGCAACCAATGATAGCAAGTGTAAAAAAAATTTTTGTTCATGCTCAATAGGCTAGCTCTGCCAACGGCCTGCTCGCGTAATTGGAATTTAAATAGGTAAGCAAGTAAGTCGGGTTATGTAAAAGTAATACTTACCTAGCCAATTATTAAAAAGTTTGCAAAGCACGTATTGATACGTATGATTTATGAATAAAGTAATTAAATTTTGGATACCTATTAATACTTGCTACTAGTAGTAACGGTAGATAGAGGAACAAAATTGTAAGATTTTTTTGTTTATATTAATTTACTACATATCTCATCCTGTCTCAATTTCCGATTGTGTACTTGAATTATTACAATATTCGAACTCGAATGTTTGAAATCTCTCTTTCTTTAAACCAAAAATCATTAGGGATGACACAGTTTTACAAATAATTACTGGTGTTTTTTATGTTGGTTTCAAATCACTTACTATTTACTGATTTGAAACTTCTATTGAACAAAATGTTTCACAGACATTACCTCAAGATTAGTATTATCTATAGCCTAACTGATTTATGAGGAAAAATATTGAGTGTGGTGGTAACTGTAAGTCTGAGGTGAGAACCCTAAAAATCATGTTTTTTGTTTGTTGACATGTATTCTACGTCGAGTTTAGCTAGAGGTATAGAATACCCATTTTTACATATTAACGGTAAAAGTTAAATACTTCCATCAAACCATTATATTTTTAAACTCTGAACAAGTGCATACTTACATCGTAGTCATCCTGCTTGCATTTAAAATATGTATGTCTAAGAGCGGACAAGAGGCGTGTTGTTGTTGTTGTGGAATCCATGGAAATGAGCTTTAAACACTTTATAAACGAGCTTGGAACGCACTTATTGCGCACGTTTTCATAGTTTTGTACGCGTGTTTCAATAGATCCAAAGGCAACTAGACAAAATGCAAACTTACATAACTTATTACAATTAACTTTTGAGGCTATATAGGTGTCTATTCATACTTCCCGAAAGCAAAGCAACTCAGTTAATGTTTAATTGAAGCCATATGTTACTATTTACAGATGACGCCTTTCTATTGCGATTTCTTCGTCAGAAAAAATTTAGCATACCAATGGCCCAGCAGACTCTACTCAAGTTTCTGAGCTTGAAAAACTATTATCCGGAAATTTTTAAGAATCTTGACTGCGAAGACCCGAATTTGGAGGAAATCATCAGCAACGGGTAAATATTTATTTCACATTTCAATAGAAAAATGCCTAAGTACGCTTTAGACCTATTTTAGTCTAATAAGTAAATCAAGACAGTCCATCCACAGCGATGTAATGTCATGTAATTATCATTATGTAGTAGAGTCAAACATTATGATTCAATATTTATTAATAGTATTTGTTTTAAATTTCGCATTAAACAAAGCACCCTAAAAATTATCCGTACTCGTCAAACAAGTCATTGTGAGATAACTACGCGGTTATTAACATTGTGACGTAACAATGAGGTTATGGGGTCAATGTGGGAGCTCCAAAGTCAGCCTTGAACTCTTTAGAAACCTTTAGTGCTTGTTTTAAATTCACTTCAAAAATATTAAATTACTACATGAAATTTTCAAAACGAGTATATTTTTATATTAACACAAATTGCAAATTTTTGTAATTAGTTGATAGAAAAGAACAATTACCTACCTATTTCGTTAGTCACCTATTTGAATTGCTTATTTTGACAGTTAGACGTTCAGTTTTACATCAAGTGGCACGTATGATTTTACTATGAGAACAAAGGTGAACGACTTTCGAACGGACAAAGTAACTAAACTGCATGGAACTTCCTTGTTTTTGTAAAATCATAGTAAGAATTTGACAGACAATCATCTCAGGATTGCTGTAAAATCTCTTAATAGGCCCGCAGCAAATGTTTTACGGAGTATTATATACATATATTATGCATATATTGTATAATTATTCATTTGTCCATTTGGAAATAAGTTATAGATATTTTGTTCAACAGCCTTCATCTTTTATCTTTCATACTTCTTATAACCAGTTCCAGTAAGCCTTGATCTGACCGAGAAAACATTCGACATAGATGTCCGGGCTGTGATGTTATAATAATAATAAACTTTTTTATGTGTACCAATAAATTATCAGTATGCTCTGAAAAGTGTTATTTGGCTTTGACAGACAACGCTCTGCGCTCTCCCTTGATATGTTCATCATCTTTAGGATCAGGCGTTAACCAGTGTCCCAAATAGTTAGACTTATGTAACTTAATATTTAATACGTTACAGTCATATTTCTTTCTTTTATCGTTAAACACCATGATTTCGCTTTTATTAACATTGTACATAAGTCCATGTTTATCAGCGAATCTCTCACAAATGCCAACCATTCTGGAAGTACCACAAGCAGAAGCGCTCGGCAACACCATATCTGCGTAACTAACATCATTTATGCAAACTTTATCAATGTGGCAACGACTCTGGCGCCGCTAAGCTCCTCAATCAGTACGTTTACGTACACATTGAAAAGCTTGGGCGAGACTGATCCCCCTGCCTCACTCCGCATTCCAATTTATATAGCTCCGAGAAAGATCCAGCCCATCTTACCATATTTACCTGGTTTAGATACCAATATTGGAGAACATCAAGAAGCTCAGGTGGCAAATTAATACCCTTCAGCTTCTTCCACAATACGTAATCCTTGTGAAAGAGTTCGTCCAGGGAAGTACTGCCACCTTACCTACTTCTGCCGCCAAGCTGTAATGTCAGCATTACTGTGTTCTGGTTTTGAAGGGTAAGGGTGCTGGTGAAATTACAGCCACATGGGACTTGTCAACTTATGTCTCAGGGTGATGGGCGCAGTGGCAGTGTCAGATCTTTGCGATATAAAACTCTAAGTGGCACTGTAACTGTTATGGACAGGCGTGTAGCTTAACATCAGGCGCACGACTTGTCCGCCCGTTCACTTGAAAATATAAAAAAAAACCTCGTAAGAAACTAGGTCAATGACCCTGGGCAGGTCCAGGAAGCACGCAAACACAGGCTTCTGTCAGTCAGTATAGTACTGATCTTTCGCTTCAAAGCGAGAATTGCAGTCTCCGTGGATAATCCTGGCCTAAATCAAAACTGGATATCATGTAGTTTAACATAGTTCTCGAGTTTTGAGTTGAGTAAACTATCCAGAACCTTAGCGATCACATTTGCCAGCAAGATTGGTCGGTAATTATTTTTATTATTCAGATCACCAGTTTTATTTTTCACAATCAATACTCATAGTGTCGGCAGGCAAGTAAGAAGTGTAAAGAGCATTGCCAGCACTCTTGGGAGGTGGGGGCCGGCAAAACGAAGGTGTTCAATACTGAAACCATCGAGAACAGGAAATGTGCCTTTAGTCATGGTATTTATGGCGTCCTTTACATCTTCAGTCACAAAATTTGTACCTAATTTTTAACTCGGCAATACAGTATCGCAAACAAATATCCTTGTGGTCGCTGATACCCTCAACACTCACTGGGTGACTAAATTTGCTATTCAACCTATTAGTCGCCATCCAGAAGCCACGAAAACCCCGCATAGAATGGTGCGCTGCAATTACGTCCATTTTAATCTGCTCCTCATGCTTCTCGTGCTTTTGACACCATTTTAAACGGGACTTAACGATTTTTCTGCTTTCACACATTTCTTCAAACAAATACCCTGTGTTCGGCTTCCCATACCACAATCATAGGTAAGCATATAAACACTAAACACCAACACATATCTTTGATCTGTTTTTATTTTGATTGCACAATTGATTGATCATTTTATTTCAAGGTACATCGCCGTATCACCAGTGCGTGATACACGTGGTCGTCGAGTGATCGTGTATAGTATTGGTAAGATACTTAAGATACGGTCTTATTAGTTGTAGTCAGTCAATTAGATGAGCAGACAAGACCATGAGCGATAACCGATGCTTTGCATGAGTAGGTAGGTGGAAGGTAGCCGTAAAGGCATACGTAATGGCAACATCTGATAACTTTCACATTTCTGTGACGAAAATTATGAACTCTTTTTTGTGAAAAGTAGTGATAAACATGTAACCAATACAAGAAATAAAAAGAAACCGGCTGTGCTCGACAGTCGTCTTCACAAATTAATTTACTTACATGATTAATATACATAGGTACTTCTATAATACGATTCCGGTTGATTAATATCTACTTATTTGAAGTCTTTGTGGTTGATATTCAAAATTTGCGATTTACGAGGTTTAAAACTATAGTAAAACAAAAATTTTATACTATGCATTGCGAAAGAGTTTACTCAATGTGACGATTTCAAGTGTAATTTACTTACTACGATGAATTAAAGATTATTATTATAGTTCATTGTCCGGAAAATAATATGTTGTAACAAACCTAGTAAATACTGTTAAATAATTTTAAATAACAAGCAGTTCATGTCTATTATTATCCAAACACGATCTCGGCAGTAGGTAACAAACAATAGCAAACATCATGGGTTCTGCACGCACCTTATGAAATTAAAGCTATTACATACAATCTGACAATTAACTGTTAGCAAACTGACGACAGTTGGCTAATAAAACAGTGTACATATTGTTATACAATCGATTAGGTCAGTTTAGTGTTCAGCGTGTGACGATGTTACCTCCCGCCCTCGTCATCCCATCTTTTTATCACCCTTTTTCTGGTTCCTGGCCACTTGTTTTCAAATTTTGAATCATTCTGTAATTTTTGCCTCGCCATTCTCATTTTGTTTCGTTCCGTCGCCACTCTCTGCAGCGACCAGTACTGCTCGTCTAATTTAAATCCGTTTACCAGTTCCAAACCTAAATCATATGCCAATTTTAATACCAATTTAATCTAGTAGTATTGTATAACTTGGCCCTTTCGGGGCAAGTCTGTCTCATGTTTTTAGTTTTGTAGCGTTGTTCCTATTTTTTTATAACACTTTCTTGTTACAGCCTTTTTCTTTTGACTTTACTTATGGAATAAATTTATGTGGACCGAAGTGTTCTATTTTGTTCTGTTTTGTCACGGCACTTTAGCGGTTCACAATCTTTTCAAGGGTGTTATTCTAAAAAAAAAAAAAAAAAAAAAGGTGTTCTACTTTTTGGAGGAGACGACCCGTAGTTGGTTTCTATATGTTCAAGATAATACAATTATGCAAGTAGAGCTTTCATACTCTTAATAAAATAACAATATTGATATATTTACTAGATACCATAATTACATAAGATTAAAGTTTATTTGTGTTAGAAGCCCCGCTCTACGTTACATTTTTGTATGTATCAGTAAATAAAGAAAATAAATAAGATCTTGAAATATGCAATGGAATATAAAACGTCTGCGTGAATGCGTGTGGGTGTGTGTGCGTGTCTAACAGTGAGTGCATAGCGTGCATGTGTGCAAGATCTTAATTTACAGATTTGAATATAGGTAAGGTACCTTTCAGGGCATCCCAAGGAGTCACGGAGAGAAGTGGGAAGTAAATATAAATATTTTAGATAGAATGTTACGCTTCTGACTATACATATATGACTGATCGGCGGCATTGTTTTAACAGTCCTACTCATGTTGTAATCCTTATTTAGGTAGTTTCAACGCAACGAAATTCAACTGCTGGGATATGTGTCGCGCGCATGCGGTGGTGTACATGTCGCTACTTGAAGACCAGCAAGAACAAGTGTGCGGGTTCGTTCACGTGGGGGATGGCAATGGGGTTACCACAGCACACATCAGCACCTGGAACCCCACCGATTTCGCCCGGCTTATGAAGTGGGGAGAGGTAAATCAAATTTATTTTCACATCCCAAAAATACCGTGCGCATAGTGAGCGGGTCAATAACCCAGTGAAAAATCACATTCTAAAGATTTACGTTACGCAACTTTCTTGCTCTATTTCAATTATTCCAGAATTTTTTGGATATATTATTGTATCGTGGACTCTTTTCCAACTATACTAGAAATAACCAGTCATATTTCCCTGATGCCAACATTTGACTGCCAATATTAAAAACCAAACAATAAACAATTAAAATGCGTTACAGCAATCGGTACCAATGCGCCACAAAGAATTCCACATGATTTGCCCCACCGCCTTCAAGTACATCGTGGATTTCGCCATTAGCAAGATCTCGTCTAAAATGGCGCAAAGACTTTACGTAAGTACTTTTATTCCTAAACATATCATGAAAAATGTGCATATTTTGTAAGCACAAGTTGAAGCGCCGGTATAGGAACCACTGTTTAGCTTTGACACACCTTTGAACAACACTCGTCTCAGGCAGTGACTATACACATAATCGTCGCCTTAGAGTGAAAACCTGGCAAACGCGTTTTCAAATAGTGCTTTACTGATACTTGTTGAAGAAAAACTTATGCCTAAAGTTATTGCTTAAACATATTATTAAGGTATTCTAGTATCTGAAAGAGGTATAATTTAGGTAATTAAAATTCTAACTACAAACATTATTGCGATTACTACATTTTACACCATATTTTTATTTTTGTCCTGAAAAATTACATAGACATCACATACGAGGCATGCACTCTAATACGATATCATAAGCAACAGTGTCGTAAGATTATAAGTGTCAGAACTCATTTTAAAACATTCCAGTTTCACGCAAACACGAAGCAACTTCTTAAACATTTGGAGCCCGATTGTCTACCTAGCACGTTTGGTGGAGCAATACCCCTGCAAGACATGATCGACTTCACTAGGCAATTGGTGCGCAACCAACGTAAGAAGGTTGTTGGACACGATGACATGGAACTACTGAGCACGAGAGGAATTATCTCTTCACGAAGCAAAAACAACGACATCAATTCCGTGCAAGGAAGTTTTAGGAAATTAGAAATAGATTAATTGGCTCAATTTTAAGGGCGATAAATGTTTGCCTAATATGACAATAAAATACGGATGAACTCGGGTCATACATCAAGTATGACAGAGTGTAAGAAACTGATGCCAGGCTAATCTTTAAAATAAAAATGATTTGTTACTACGATCCAAATATTTTTTTAGCTTTAAAAAAAGAACTTAAAGCGTCCATTGCCGGCAACGCATGTATGCATTCACCCGAGTTTCACCCAGTGGCTTGAACGTAACGTTCATACTTTTCGAAAACTTCGCCCAGTGCCGTCAACGCATATTATGTATATGAGTTCATATAATGTAGAAGCCTTATATGAACTCGTATGCGTTGACGTTCCACTGTCATCTTTTTTATTGTGTCCATTTTATTTGTGTATCTAAAAACATACATAGATATTCAAGACCAACCCAACCAAATTTTGTTAGGTTAATTTTTCTAAATTCTTTCATTTGTTAACCAGATAACACTTATATAAAAATATATCACATTCAAATAAGTAAATAATAAAATCTGGAATACGTACCAGGGTAATTGGTCCAATAGAAAACAAATCGATGTCAAATTATTTATATATTAAAAATATATAAATAATTTATATATATATTAAAAATTAATTCATATTTACGTCTTAGGCATTGGACAATAATAGTTTTATTTTTTATATTCATGAACGATTATGAGTTTGCATTTATATAATTCAAACTCATATATGCGCTGGAGGTGGCGAAAGTTCGAGAAACCGTGCAGGTAATGAATGCATTAAGATAGAAGCAACAGATTTGGATGTTTCAGAACTGGTTAATGTATCTATAAATATTTTAAAAACAATAAACTTACTATAATAGTCACACTTTGAAAATAAGCTGCACCTTTGTTTTCCTACTTTTAAGTACTTGTAAAGTATAAATGGTTGCATATCCGTCTTTATAATTAAGAAAATAAAGTTCAAGAAATGTATTTTATTGTTTTATATACAAATATACATTTTTGTTCTACATAAAATTATTATGAACACCTAAAAGAATATCACATTTCCTTAGAAAGAGTCCTTTAATAGGAGCCATTTACAGAATTAAAATTCTATCCTATTGCAATAATATCGCAAAGCTATAAATTCACAGGTAAAATACGAAAGTGGCTGCCGTTAAAGTACCCATAAACATACCTAAAAGTCGGTTCCTAAATTCCGTCAATCACCTCCCCTAAATTCTTGATATTCGAAAAATAACAGACAAAAAATTATAAGCTAAAAGCAGATAAAAATACACACAGCAGTATGCAATAAAATTTCAAATGAACTACCTGCATTATGACGAACTTAATGTATATAAGAAGAAAAAGGTCTTCATAGAATCATTGGAAAAAATACATAAACCCAATAACGGATAAAATCTAAAGGTGGGTATCCATTAGCCTCGCGCGCCAACTATGTTTCGCACATTTGTAACCGCTCAAATAGAGACTTTACTCGCATCAATCCAAGAAAATCGAGTGCTCCATTAGGTTCGTGCATCGAGTCTACTAAAACGTCTTGCTCAACTCGCGTCCGCGACGCGAACACTGCGCTCCGCTTTGTGTACGCTAATGCGCCGAGCGTGGAACGTAGCATGCGAACGTACCCACTAATGGAGCCGTTGCAGATGTGCGGAACATAGTTGGTGCGCGAACCTAATGGATACCCACCGTAACATTTTCTTGCGAAGTACACTAAAAGTATACAGAATGTATGAAGTAGTCAGTACATAGGTAAACTAAAAACTACTTTTACTGTTGAGGAATTGCAAACTAGCGAGCGCGTCGAGATTCATTGCCCGCTAGGGCACAGAGATATTAATAATACGGGTGAATTTACCTAAAACATAGTTCTATATAATTTGATTTCACATGGTACTTTAAATATTTTAAAGTGCGGGGGTGCGGGTCTTGGCGTCTTCCCTTTCACAGTGCCGAAGCGGCTCCTAGCGGGTAGATAGATCCATACGTCGACATCGCAAACAGATGCTAGAGGCTAGACCAAGCACTATGAAGGATACGGGCGGACCGAGCCAATAGATAAAGCCTCGCGGTGCGAGCGACCCGCGCATGCGACCGCCGCGAGGTTGGCGCCGCCGCCGGCGCGCGCGGCCTCTATGAACTCAAAGAGCGTCTACGTTCATTTGACTTACAAGCACCCGCGCCTGCACCTCGCCCGCCGCCACTTTGAATAAGGCCGAAGAGATTCATAAAAACTTGCTAAAAACAAACGGCGTGCGCGTGCACATCATGATACACGAACCAAAACACAAATTACTGACCACAAAAGGCTTGGTTGTCGGGTTTACCCCGCATCATGAATGAACCAATTCGAAACTTTCGTTTAAACCATAAGCCATTTTTAGGGGAAAGCTTATGCTCTCTCTCCTCTCAATTAACTCTCTATTCTCTCAAACAAACTGTGTCAAAACCATGTCAACCACGACGAGCTTAGTTGTCATAGTAGTGCGGGTATTATGTGACGGACAAGTCAATTCAAGCCGGAGCACATCCATAAATATGAATAGAAGTTAAATGTATATATTACAAAATATTTCCTACAGCGACGGACCTTAGTAACCTGCTCCTAGGTAGATTATTCCCAAAATGAAACTACTTATAATAACATAGAGATTACAGCAATTCCAGAACACACAATTCAAATGCGATTCTGCCAAAGTTAAATTCTTACAATACAGTAACAACGTGTTAGTAGTAAGTATCATAGGGTATTTGACAAGTATAGAAATCCGTTAATGATTGGATATTAACACTTTTACCGGCCAATAATATCTATTGTACTTATTTTACTTTTATTATGTAATATTATAAATTAAGTTATTTCTACCACTCGATGCACATACTTACATATTTACTATAATAGTAGCACACCCATGGTATAAAGAGATATTTGCTCTATAAAAATAAAGCGCTAAAGAAAACACGGCGCATAATTATAAACGTATTACGCAAACTGCCATGTGAACCACTACCTTAAAAAATATTATTGTTGTTAAAAATATTTAAATATCGATTCGATACAACTGTTGCTAGAAAAGCAACTAATGGATGGTCAACAGTAGGTGTTTTATAATATAATAACCATTTATATACAGGGTGGCCTATTTACAGTGGTCCAAAATTTTTTTTAGATAGGACATTGTAACGACTTAAAATATATATTTGTTCCGCGTAAATTAATATTTAGAAGTTATGATTTATGTACTTCTTTGAAAATTTTCTACAAGTCACTAAGTCTAGTTTGAAAACTATTCCACTAAATTAATTGTAATTTGGTATGAAAGTAGTGTGACCATGTGCTAGCGTGCATATATTCTTAGATTGCGCCGTTATTTTAGACATTTAGGAGATATTTTATAACACATGCATGCAACATACATATAAATACTCTTAACTAAAAAAATGTTTGAACCACCATAAATGGGCCACTCTGTGTAATTAAAATTGCTCTAAAAACAGTGTAATTTCTGAAGTGATCTTTCATCATTTGATGTTAGACCGAAAGAAGAACCAGGGCCCCAAGTTCGATAATTTTAAATAATCTCAGTAGTCTATCGATAAAGTATCAATGGCATGATTTAGTACTTTTGATATTCTGTTAAAGGGTAGTGGGAGTACCATTCAACTGCCATTGCAATATTTTGGTACTCTGTTTTTCAATGGTGTAGTATTATCTGATTTATTATTTGACGTTTCTTTCAATAGCTTCGTACTATCAAGTTGGCATTGATTTACTGTAGAGCAAATACTGGTATACACTGGTGAACAAACAAGATATGGATAGTAATTTCCATGACAGTGTTAGTCGATCGTTAGTGATTCAATAAACTGACACACTTTTGACAAACTCAACTGCCATTGTAACTAGATTCTGAAGAATAACAAATATTATCATAATTACAATGTAATTTCAGTGGAGTCTCGATGGAACATCGAGTATATAGCCAGAAATAGAGATGAAATGTCATTTAACTTGTTTGTGAACTATTCTGCCAAATCAGTACGGGGATAACTGCGCTCCGATTGCCCAGCTCCAATTCGATCAGTTTAACTTGAGCTTTATTATAATGGAAAATTGAAAAATTACATAATTAATTACCGATGAAATGTGACTCCGTTTGTTTTGTTATCAGATGTATTGCTATTTTTCCCACACCACCGAAAGGAACAGTCCCCTATTGTTAGAGAGGTATTATCTTTATTACAATAAATACAAAATATTTTTGGAATATACGGAGACGTTTACACAGGTCAGTTGTTGGCGCTGTACTATTTCAGCTTTCTAATTTGTGATTTCAGAGCAAATAAGAGTTGATATTTAAAAGTGATATAATGCCCATTTGCCTGACGAGTTGCCATAGATGGATGGCCCTTATTTCGTCTCTATTTCTGGTTATACACTCGATGCGATGGAATAACAATGACCAGTGGCTTCAAGAAAATTAGCAGATTTCGGGCCCTGAATGTCAGACTACAATTTCATTGGTGGTTTGCACTTGCATCTTTGATATTTTCTTTGGTCCTCGTCCGTATTATTCGTATGTGGTAGTAAATTTATGTAAATAGAATTGATAATAATATTATAAACATTCTGTCATTCAAAATCATACTGTCTGTTCTAATAGTAGGCGTTAACTACGTCAAAAATATTTCTTAGCAACAAACAACTAAGCATCACAGTAATTTATTATTGTAACAGAAAATACATAAAATAACTTTTGTTTTTTCACAATTACTCTACAAATGTAAATTAGTAAATGTACGTAAATGAACACATGTGTGCGTAAATGGATAAACAATAATGTGTTAACCCACATAAATTGGAATATTGAGATATTAATGCCAAATTGTAGCTTGACGTCTTATCTACATTTTACAAACCAAAAAGATCAATTCACCAAATAATAAATAATGATATAAACAATTGACACAAATCCATTAGCCACAATCATTTAGTAGCAGTAGAGCTCCTTGTGAAAAAGTTCATCCAAGGAAGTACTGCCACCTTACCTATTTCTGCCGCTGAGCAGTAATGTGAGCATTACTGCGTTACGGTTTTGAAGGGTAAAGGTGCTGGTGAAATTACAGGCACAGGAGACTTTTCACGTAATGTCTCAGGGTGATGGGCGCAGAGGCAGTGAACCTCAGATCTTTGCGATTTAAAGCTCTGAGTGGCACTGCAACTGTTATGAACAGACGTGTCGTTTACCATCAGGCGCACGATTAAGGGTGGAAAATTAGGCAATCAATCCGGTTTACTGCATTTCATCCATTCTCCGTTAACCGATTCAAATAAAACTTGGCAAATAGATGTAATTCCACAAACTTTTGAGATCGGTTTTTTGTGGCAAAGTTATAATTATACTGGCCTAAATCAACAGCGATCGAAAATTAATTTTCAACTGGTTTTACGCACTTAATATCTATGATTCGTAAGTTTTATTTATATGACTAAGAAGTATATCAGATACACATAGCTTTGAAACCGTAACATACATCAAATATAGAAAATGAAACTGTTTTTCGGGATTTAAATCGCGAATATTTGAGTGAACAAATATACGCGATTAAAATCCGGAAAAATAGTTTCATTTCCTATGTGTAACAATCGCGAA